GTTAATATTATTGCCATAGAGTCTAATGTTAAATAGGATTTTCATTTTAAAATATAAAATAATCAAATATATGAGAAAATTAATAATATCCGATATGAAAGGCATCATGAATTTCACGGATGATTCCGGATCATCAAATTTAAGTATATTTAATTGATAGAAATTCAAATTTATAATAGAAAATACAGATTTGATAAGCAAAATGATTTTTTTTGATTTAATTGTCCCAGAAATTTCATATTTTTTCTTTTTTTCCTTCGATACTGGTATGAATTTCAGGATCCGGAAACATTTGTAAGATTCATGTTGCATTTTCTATGGAATAATTGTATGCATTTGTTCACAGAGTTGAAATCACTATTTTAAAATTAAAAATCTTAGATGTAAATAACTTTTCCAATCTTTCTGAAAATTCAACGGCAATTTTTTTTGTTTTTTCTATTACATTTTTAAATTGAAAAATTAGTTTATGTATGGTAATATCTATTGAAATTTTCATTGATGAAAAACTCAAAGTTCTTTTTTTTTTTTTTTTTTTTTCACTTATCAATTTTTAACAAGAAAACTTGGGAAAAGCTCTGATAAAAAAAAAAGCACAAAAAGCTTTGTTTGTTACTTCACAGTATCTTCTCACTAATAATGAATCATAATGAAGATGAATTAGGAAATAAATTAAAATACCATTTTTATAAATGTCAAAAATTTTTCGTTTTTAAAAGTTGATAATTTGTTTGAAATCTCTAATTTGGATAAATTGTTATCTCTTTTAAAATGCAAACAATAGCATTGTGACAGCATTATTTGTAGGCTTGTAAAAAGGAAAAAAATGTCATTTCTTTTTTTTTTTTCAAGTCATGAAGAGCCATCTAGTCAAAAAGTATATTTAGATGACAGCGAGAGAGAGAGAGAGAGAGAGAGAGAGAGAGAGGGATGAAGAGAGAATATTGGAAGAAAAATGGTATGATTCAAATTATTTCCACCTTAGGGAATTTTATTCCTTCTACTTTTTCAAATTTTCAAACTACAGTTTCTTTCTTTCTTTCTTTTTTTTTATTTTGAAGTCTAATCTATACTTTTTTTTTATGAAAAATGTTTGATATGCTAAATTTTTTTATTCTTTTATAATTTTAGTTTATAAATTCACGCAAAGTTTAATTGAAATGTTACTAATTTGATTTCTTTTTTTTTTTTTTTTAATCTTTTGGAAAGATAACAATATCAATAATAAAATTGTATGTTGATTAATTGCATCCATTCGTTTAATTTTGTTCATCACTTTAATTTTTTTTTTTTTTTTTTAAATCATTTGTTATTCATTCATTCGTTCGTTTCAATGATTTGTGAATAAATTTAAGAAAAAAAAAAGAAGAAAGAATTCAAGCTTTATCTTTTTTTAATATCAATAAAATCTCTATCCAATGTTCTTCTGGTGACGTAGGGTATTTAGTAATGCTGCTAAAAGAGATAGCAATTCATGAAGGAACAATTTTGAAACATTGAATTTACCGCAATGATATTGGAATTTTCTCGCTAATATCTTTTGCATAAAATTATTTTACTGTTAAAAATTTTGTATAATATTATGTTTGATGTAAGCATTTTTGCATACATTTTGCAATAATTTATGCTCATTTCAAATTCTTGCGCATCTTTTGCATGACATCATGTTGACAACGAGATTTTTCCTTCTTTTATAAAACACTTAATGCTTTAGGGATGACATTAAGCATTGACTAACTTTTCAAAAATTTGTTTATCACATATGATTTTTATGGTTGTTGTCATTTTCATTTTAGTAATATCTATCTATGGAACGAATAACATGCGAATATTTTTAAACTCTTTTAAAATCTCAAAAATTCTGCTATTCATGCAATTAATGTAATTCAAAATTTTTTAACTCCTGTTTTTTATAAGTTTAATTAAATTTATACAAATAAATTGTCTTTTTATAAAGCAAAATAAGGTTTGAAAATATGATTAAATGGACCGATGTTTCAACTGCAATTTACAGAGTCGGTAAAAAACAAAGAAAAGAAACTTCCAATCATTTTGTGGATGCATTCTGCTATTTAAGCTTTGGGATTTTAAAAAAAAAAAGAAAAACAAAAAACAAAAAAAAAAGAAACGGAAAGACGAAAAGGAACATAAAAAGAAGAAAAAAAAAAAAAATGATAAATTATACGCAATAATCGTTTGTGTGTTTGAAATTTTATACCAACAAGAAAAGAAATTGGAAATGTATAGAAAAATCAATAGAATAAAACATTAGGCACAAAAATAAGAATAAAAAAAAAAATTGATTATATAATTAATTTTATAAAAAAAAAAAAAAACGCAGTATTAATTGCATTATAATATAAAAGCCCAAAGAGGCAATTAGAAAATTTCCTTTTAAGAGCCAAAAATAATATCTCTTACTTACTTTTTTTTTTTTGCTTACACTATTTAATGCTATAAGGAAACTTTTTTCTTCTTTATTTCAATTTTCTGAAGTGAATATTGATCAAATTTGGCCTGTACTAGTCAAGAAGAAAAAAAAAAAAAAAAGGAAAACAGTGTTAAGCGCTAAACGACTTAGTGCTTTGTGCGCGCTTATATTTCCTCTCTCTTTTTTTTTTACTACAAATGTACCAGCACCAGCACCAGCACCAGCACCACTAGCAGCAGTAGCATTTATAGTTTTGTTGATGAAAGATAGAGATTTGAAGGACAGGTGCCATAAGCTAAAGTATCCTTTCTAACTTAGCTAAATCCTTTTTGCGCCTCTCTTCCAGCCCAAATCCTTTTTGCGCCTCTCTTCCATCCTCTCAATATTATGCTAAGTTAATTTGTCCCATTCTTCTTTTGAAAATCTTCGATAAATTTTGATGCATCTATGCTTCATTTCGTACTTACGCATATCGACGCTTTTTTTTTTTTTTTTCACCATAGCTACCACTTGTAGCATTTCTCATTATTTTTTATAGATTTTTTTGTTTTTTGTTTTGTTTTGTTTTGTTTTTTTTTCATATTATTTAATATTATTTTCAACTTATTATCATCGCCATGGTGACCAATGGTCATTTATCAAATAAATCTTAATGAAAATATATTTTCATAGTTTACATTTCACAGATTGCTTTAATATTATAAATGGTAACGGATATGATTGTCCGTTGTTATTAGATATGAAATCCTTTGCTATAAGCTATATAATGAATTTTTTTCTTTCTTTTTTTTTTGATAATCTGTTTTTAAATTATCACATATTCTATTTGGTTAAAAAACCTTTTTATTTTTTTTAATTGAAAGGGATGGAACTATCTGTTTGGATAAGCAACAAACTTTTAATTACATTTATAGGAGAGAGCATAACTTTTTTTTTTTTGCATTTATCATTACTATTTAAGCACAAATTTCATGTCGAAATTTCAGTGTAAATTTAAAAAATTTTCTTCACCTAATTTTGAGTAAATATTAAATTTATTTTAAATAAACCCTGAATTTTTCACTTAATTTTGAGCTAAATTTCTTTTTTTTGAAAAAAAAAAACAAACATTTCCATGTAAAATAGCACTTGAAAGAAAGAAGATACAATGAAATGAATGTGAAAAAGAATTTTTGCACTGTTTTGTTTGTACAATTCATTTTTCATTGATCTTTTTCAATTATCAAAATTTCATTTAAATATACAATAAATCGATAAATGAAGATCAGTCATAACTATATGAAAATGAGACAATTTGATAAATAACATTTAGCTTTTTTCATTTCGTTAGTTCTTCTTCTCTTCAAATATCATCAAAAGATGTTATAAGCTGTTGATAAAATTAATAAAAATTAATTTAGTGAAGCTAGGGAACAATTATAATTAATTGTTTGATTGAAAAAACTTCAATTAAAAAGTTTTTCATTATTTTTTAGGTAATACTTTATATTATTCCATAACATTTTTACTAAATGAGAAAGAAAAGAAATTTCAAATTGAATATTATTTCAGAACTAATTAGTTGTCAATATAGATATAATTAATCATGTGTTTATTGCTTGTAAAAAGGAAGTACTTCTTGAGGAACTAATATTGCTAACATTTGTCTAATTTATTATTCAATAAAGAGAATAAGATAGTTTTACAAAAAAAAAAAAAAAAAAAGACGGACCAATCTTTCTTCTTTTTTTCTTTTTTCTTTTTTTTGTTAGAGTTAAACGTGTGAATTTCGTTTAAATTATATGAATTTTTTTCAAGTTGTTCTTCTGGAATGTCGTCATTCTGGGTAGGGTGTACTTCCTCATGATAGAACTGGAAGGAAGGGAAAGTAAAAAGTGGAAGAAGAAGATGAAGAAGCAAAGTACAAATTATGAAGGATATGGTCGAGACGAAGCAAAGTATAAATATACTTTTCGCAATGAGTTCATTATATTTGCCTTTTAACAATAACAACTTATAGGTTACTCTTTACTTATTGTAAGTGATAAGTTATCGTTTACTTATTGTAAGTGATAAGTTATCGTTTACTTATTGTAAGTGATAAGTTATCGTTTACTTATTGTAAGTGATAAGTTATCGTCTATTTATTATAAGTGATAAGTTATCGTTTACTTATTGTAAGTGATAAGTTATCGTCTATTTATTGTAAGTGATAAGTTATCGTTTACTTATTGTAAGTGATAAGTTATCGTCTATTTATTGTAAGTGATAAGTTATCATTTTTTTAGTGTTATCTCTTGCATCATTCTTATTTTAAAGAATAGCATTTGTCATAGCAGCATAAATAGATCATTAAATTTTGCTAAGAATTTGCTAAACTTTTTGAAATAAAATTTTTTTTTTTGTTCTACCAAATTTCTCTATTATCATTCATTACCATTATCTAATTATATTTGAATGTTAAGATTAACTTTAATTATGATCAGCGCAAGTATTTACCCATTGTTCGGACGTTTTCTTTTTTCCAAAATTTTTTCTTTCTAAAAAGTTTTTTTTTTTTTTTTTTTTTAAGAATTTATCGGGCGATAAAATGATGGATTCACCACTGGAAAAAGCTCGACGAATATTCCACATTGAAAATCGCACTGTAGTTAATTGTTTATCCGAATTCTATGGCTCTTTACTATTACTGGTAAGATTTGACAAATTTCTTTCATACTAAGATCTATTCTAACTCAATAGCATAGCTAAACAATAGTTACTATTATCATGAAAATTCAATTTGATTAGCATCCTTATTTAACTATAAAATGTTAGAAAATATAAATTCTTTTATAAAAGATTTCCTTATTTTTAACTGAAAAAACTTAAAAGAAAATTTGATTTTTTTCTTTGATTTGGATTAAAAAAATGTTTTATTTATAATTATTGAAGGAGAAAACTTAGTAATGTTACAATCAGTTATTTGAAACATTCGAGTTATATTGATGTTTTTTTTTTTTTTTTTTCAACAAAAAATATTATATTTTCCCATGCATATTTTATGCTTCATCGAGAATGACCTTTGATGCACATACTGATGTTTGCATAGCTTTCAATATGAAATTGTCAAATTTATAAACTATCCCGAGGAACAATTAGATAAATAAAGTGAAAAAACTTCCTCATTTTTTTATAGAGAATTTTTGATAATTTTTGGTTATTTTTGTAGTTAAGGAAACTTCCTCAATTTATTTTGTTAAATAAAAGAAATTATTTAATTTCTTATAAGTTTTTTTGAGTTCTTAAATTTTTTCAAGTTTTAAATATTTTATTAAAGGTGAAAAAAAGTTAAACGAAAAAAGAAATGTATTAAGTGAAATATGAAAGAAAAAAAAAAGTTAAAATTAATGGTTTATTTCTTTTTTTTTTTTCTATCAATTGTTTGACAAGAAATAATACATTCTTAATAATAATTTAGAGATTTGCTTATTTCGTCCTCATAAAAATTAGCCCAATTCATTGACTAGAAGCGTATTTATAAATACATTTAATAAAAATAAATGAGTAAATTTATTCTTTTATAATTTTTTTAAATTTTATCTGTTAGGTTTTTAAATCATGTAGTCAAATAACGAATTGTATTTTTCAAGAAAAAAAATTAACTTATAACAAATGATAATAAATTAAATTAATTAAACTTAAAAAATATTTTAGTTTCTTGGAATCAGTATAGTACATCAATTCGATTTATCTCATAAACAGTTGAATACATGGATGCAAATCAATCTTGGATGGGGATTTACGATCATGTTCTGTGTTTATACCTGTTCAAAGACATCAGGTATAATAGCTTCTGTTTGTTTATTTGTTTATGGGAATAATTGATAAAGAGCAATAAGTTAGAAATTTAAGAAAAAGACACTGACATGCTGAGAAATTTTCATTTATTTCCTTTTTAAATTGCTTTCAAAAATTTCCGTACAAGTTCAAAAGTTATTCTAAATAAATCATTATTTAATGAAATTTCAAAATAAATTCATTAAAAATATTTAGCATTTCAAATGAGCAGTGTCTCTTAGTGACGATACTTTTATGCTTAATCTTACGAAGAAATATATTCCATATTCTACTTTTTATTTATTTTATTTTTTTTTTTTAAATTCATTAATATTTTAAGTTCAGCAATGATATTTTAAGGAGGACATCTGAATCCAGCAATTTCGCTAATGTTTTATACTCTTGGAAAATTGCCTCTCTCACATTTTTTTTACTATAGTATCGTGCAAGTTCTTGGCGCTTTTGTCGGCACAGCATTTGCGTATACTGTTTATCTAGGTATTAATTCCAATTCAGTAATGTTTCCAATTTAATATTATTTTAATTTATCATTTATAATAAATTTCTATATCATATGAAAGAGTAAGAAATGATTTCAGATCAAACTCATCATGTATTGGGTGATCTTCGCATTGTAGCAGGTCCGAATGGTACAGCTGGATTGTTCACGTCAATGCCTGCGCCTCACGTCTCAAATACGATCGCATTTTGGGATCAAGTAATCACTATTCTTCTATACTATAAATATATTCTGTAGTAAATAAGCTTAGTTTTAGTAATTTAATGCAAATTTATTTCTTTCCATTTCTAAACTTTTAAACCAAAAATTTTTTGAATTCTATGTGTTTGTAATATTTGCTCTTATATTACAGTATTAGATCACTTTATTGGCCTCTTATGTATATTTTATTAACAAAATATTGAATTTTATCAATAAAATTTTATTAAAATTTAAAGGAAAAAAGAGTATGAAAAATTTGCCTTTCTTATCGCTATCACTTTATATGCTTTTCAAATATAAATTTAAATTTAATTGAAGGAATAGATATATATTGTAAAATTGCAAATGGAATATTTTATTTTATCCATTTTTTTTTTTTTTTTTCTTCTTTTTTAGTTTGTTGGTACAGGATTTTTGGCTCTTTTTGCATGTGTGATCACGGACAAACGTCTAGAAATTCCATTTGCAATTCATCCACTTCTTATTGGATTAGTTGTTGCAATGATTGGTATGGCATTTGGAATGAATCTTGGATATCCTATTAATCCTGCTCGAGACTTTGCTCCACGTCTTTTTGCTGCTATGATCGGATATGGTTGGGAAGTTTTTAGGTATGATGAATTGATGTCTTTTTTTTTTTCTTAAATAATCACAACAAATGATTCATATACAGACACTTCTTATATTGTATGAATAGCTGTCGTATAGCTTGATAGTATCTATGTTTGATAATTTGATATTTTGATAATCGTTTGTTAATGTTTATTTATTTTAATGTTAATTAAATTTTAGTGAATTGTTATTAAGTGTAGATTTTTCTGTTGTACTGATAACTTGTAAAGTCATATTTAAAGTAACTCATTAGATCGCTAATAATATTTATTAAAAGCGTTTCGATATCTTATACTAGCTTCTTTTGCAGTTATCATAATTACTATTTCTGGATTCCAATAGTGGCACCGTTCTTTGGCGCAATTGCTGCAGCTTGGTCATATTTCATCTTCGTTGGCTTTCAAATTCCAGATCAACCGCCCAGTTATATGAAGGAAAATAAAACCGATGGTGATGGCATTCCTTTGAAAACTACGTATGTTGACTTCTCTCTATTCTGGTTTACTTTAAGTTTGGATCAAAATTTGTTTAATAATTTCACTTTACTGAATAAAAAAATATCATAACTGTATACTTTTTTTTTTTTTATGATTACTATAAATAATTCAAATTGTTTTGGTATCATCTTTCAAAACATTTTTAATTTTGTAATTTTAATTATTCACATATTTCTTTTTTTTTTCTTTTTCAGAGATCTTGCATAAAGTCAACGCTGAAAAAAAAAACCCAATAAACAAAATAAATACAAGTGTAAATGCAGCATATGAAGAATTCGATTTCTTTCTGAAAAGTTATCCAATTCCAATTTAATTAAATGATTTTGCCTCACTATTTCTAAATTAGATGATTTATTTCTCTATAGGGACCGGTCGTAAGCTAAAATTAGTGCAGATATGAGATAAAAGTTTAGCGCCATCAAATGCACATCTAATTTTCCATATCAGCGATTTATATTACATTTCTATCTGCCTCGGCCAACTGTTGGAAACATTTAATAAAAAAAAAAAAAAATCCTAGCAAAATTCCATCTATCAATGCAATTCATGTTTAACTGTGGTGATGATAAGTTACCTTTTTGAGTACTTTGCACCTTAATTGATTGTTTGATAATTGGCCGGTAATAGTGTAATACTATTTTGTTTTTTTTTTTTTTTTTTTTATTTTCTATTTATGCCTTTATTTCTGTTTTTGTCCACATTTTTGTACTAAATAGAAAAATACAATAGCTAGCCTACTTTTTTACACAATTTTTTTTTTTCGTTTTCTTGTGAAGACGGAATGGCATTACTTGTTGTCGAAGGTATTGAATTTCCATTTTCTGAATAAATTTGAATTCGAAAACCATATGAATTTTTTTTTTTCTTCTCTTGGTTGTACTCGAATCTAAGCGAAGGAATAAAAAATATTGTATACATATATATATATATATTATCAACAGCATTTATCAAACATTTCAAGTTTTATGATACATATATACCAGTCTGTTTCCCTAATGATCAAAGTGGCGCAATGATACACAACTTATGGCTCTACAGTAATCTTTTATTAACTAAGCTAATTTTAATCTTTCATCAAAACTGAATGGCATTACATGTACACAATTCAAGGTATACACTTTCAGGCAGGTATCATTCAAGCAAACACTCATTTGTTGACAGTTTTAATTCATCGTTTTGACATATGTATGAGTCATTTGGTTATAAAGCATAACTGGCTGAGTCAATAATTCTAAATTTAATCAAAAAAAGCAATTCACAATCTATCAGATTTGGAATTTTTGGAAATTCTTTTTGATTGTGTGGAAAATTTTTTTGACACCAATAAACGCATACTTGCACTTCTTACTTAAACCACCTGCACTTAATAATTCCTACTGTATGCACTATAAACTTACTTCCTGTTTTATATTTTATAAAATATAAGGAACCAAATATTAGTACCACTCAATAACCTTTTGATCTCATGATTTATTACTTTGTTCTTGCAAAGTTTTTTTTTTTTTTTTTTTTTTTTGTAAATATTTCTTTCTTTTATGTCTTTAAAAGAAAATTCTGTTTGTTAAATGTTGCAATTTTTTCTAACTCATTGCGCTCTTTTCATTTACCAAAATGTGAAATAGGAGCGAAAATTGTTCCCAGTAGAATGAATTTGAAATTGCAATAAGTAAAAATAAATGCCTTCAGCGTTCATTGAATTTGATTAAGACATTATTGTGCGGCCAATTAATCTCCTTTCAATCAATTTTATATCCATTCGGCGGGTAAATTCAACAAAAAAAAAAATGAAAAAATTGAAATAGAAATTTCTTGAAGTTAGACGATTAATTCTTCTCTATTCAGTATTTCATTCATAACAAACTTAACAATTATGTCTGACAAATTTAGATCCACTTAAAACTAATAGACTTTTAGACCACATATCACTGCTTAATTATCAAATCACAAATGCAACACTAACATATGTGTAAAACAAATTTAATTTAATGTAAGCGTCATTATACCATTCTATTTTCACACTTTAAAACACCAATGAAAGAAATATTTTCATACAATAAAGCGAGTTGCTGCACACTTTATAGTATCAATCAAATTTATAAGAGTAGAATGATTTGTTGATCTTATGTTTATGTGTAGCGAAAAATACGAATAGTTACTAACAAATAAGTAATCAAATCAATCTAAACAGTTGAAGTGGACTTGTTCTTTTATTTGCTATGCTTTTCTTGATATTTTGTTTAAAATTTCAGAGTACCAATGATAGATGTAAGTTTGTTGTCTTCAACTAATTTATTATCATTAATTTCTTTTCCTTCTGACTGTAATTTTTTAAACACTACTTCCTTTGTACTTTTCAAGTGATTTTAAACAAAATTTCTTTTCCTCTATTATTTTCAATGGAATGTTTATAATTGAATTAATTCGAGTTGTAACAGATGACACTATTTATTTCAAAATACTTAGTTAAATTTATATGAGAAATGATTTATCCAACATTCATCATTCAATGGTAACTGTACTTCTGTGCATTGTCTAGGATGTATGTCACTGCTTAATACGTTGTGAATAGATTCTTCCACTTTTATTGTTAAAAGTTCTCAGTGTGACAGTCAAATTTATATTCGATGGTTCAAAGGTTATAAGCTCGTTGCTCAATTAGCTTTCTTTGTTACAAAGCAATCTTATCTACAATATCTAAATGAAGTAGGGGTGTTCCACTCGAAGGTCATCCTTACAAGTAATTCACGTAATGTTATAAACCAACTGTCTACTATACAAAGGGCAAAGGTCAACCAAGAGTGACAACTATTTATTTACTCACTGTAACCATACGTTATATTGTAAGCCAACGCCTACTATAAAACGTGGTTAAAGCTATTGTCTAAGGTGCAGTTTTGATTGAAATAGTCTTAAATTCGGTTTTCATAGTTTGTTTATATCCTTCAGTCTCTACTCAACGACCAATCCCAGCCGAATTTCTCCAATTAATCACTTTTGATACTATATTTGGTGTCCCAAAGAATTTATCATCAATTAATTAAAATTTCCCGGAAATCTCAGGGATGTGATCAGTCTGCTAAATCATTATGGAGCACTTAAGGCGGCATTGTCATATGTAAAACAAATTTAATTTAATGTAAGCATCGTCATCCCATACTTTTCTCAGACTTCGGAACGTCAATGAAAGCGACATTTCCACGTTATTTTCCTTTTTTTTTTTATTTGTCAAATCAGTTTTATTGCTCTAAGCGGTTGAATGTGGAAACGTTTGCATCTTTGCTGTGCTTTTCCCGACATTTTGTTCAAATATAACTCAGTCAGAGTATCAGTGACAAATGTCAAATAATTTGCTATCATTAATTTCTTTTCCCTTTTTTTTCAAATACTACCTCTCTTTGTACTGTTTAACTGATTTTAAAGGAAATTTCTTCTTCTCGTCTGAAGAAATAATTTTTATTTTCAATCACTTTTTGAGATTGTTTCACTTCTGTGACAATCATAAAAATTGATCTAAATCTGACTTTCGGGTGTGATTGGATGATTGAAAGAATCGTTACTGATGATTACATAACAGTCAGAACGATTAAATTATTTCAATTCAGCCCTGCAAGCTTTCATCTGGAATACTTAGCTACAAACTTTATTCGAGGGGTGCCTTCTGGCCTAGTATTTATGCGAATTCTTTAGTACTGAAATGGATAATATTGTCTAAAACTGCGATTTGAAGATTCGTAGGCATTTCAGAATTGCATACAAATTTCATATTAAACAGAATGCATCACATGGAACGCCTCAAAAAATATGGACGCATAGAAAAAGAATTGGCTCGTAATTTGCTTGCTGAATTTTATGGCACCGCTCTTCTAAGAGTTAGTATTTCAATTTATTGTTTTAAGTCTATTGAAATTTGAACCTTGAACTTTTTTGATATTCTGAAGCTTAGTCCTTTCTCAAAGAATGCAATGCACTTCTTCCGAGGAGATTTTCTGTCGTCTGATCAGGAAATAAATTTGATGGAGAATTCAGTTCATTGGTACTGGTGTGATGGCTCAGTTCGTACTCAGTCCCGGAACATCAAGCTCTCCGGTACAAATTAATATCGGTTGGGGACTGGCAATCGCACTATCAGTTTATGTTGCATGGGAAACTTCGGGTAACTTACAAAACTTTACGAAGTTGTTCTCTACCTGTTTTTACCTGAAACCATCAAATTAAATAAGGAAAAGTGTAGCTCATATAAAGAAGCTAAAATGAAAACTCAAATTCTGACTGTTGTGTGTTCCATAAGTGATAAATCCCTGATTTATGTCTTATCGAAAAAGTTTATATTTCTGCCATTTCGGCTATATACCAAAACTATTGTAACTAGATACTGCTTCAAGTACAAACACTTGCTAGGCTCTTTGTTAGTACCACAGATTAGGACTGTTAGCACTTTGAATCGATCCTATTTGGCCATAAGTTTTAGGAATGAAAACTCTTTTTATTGCAACACAATTAGTCCTTTTGCCAACACAATGTTGTATTTGTGTTTTAGGAATTATTGAAATTGTATGTACAATTGGACTAATTTCCAGGTGGACATGTGAATCCGGCAGTAACAGCTGCTTTATGCATTCTCGGAAAGATATCTTTCACTCACAGTCTTCTATATTTCATTGCACAAACACTTGGCGCCGCATTTGGCGCAGGGACAATGTATTTAGTTTACAGTGGTAAAGTAAATTTGAATATTAAATGTAATTAAGTAAATAACTTCTTCCTGGCACTTACACAACTTTCACGTTTTCAGAGGCAATAAATGCCTTTGATGGAGGAGTACGGGCAATAAGTGGGCCAAATGCGACGGGAATAATTTTTGCGTCATTCCCACGGGCTTATCTTTCAAATACTGGCGCTTTTATCGATCAGGTTTGTCTTTCTTTTGTTTACAAAATTCATTAAATCACAACTTAACAATAAATTAGCAAAATAGATTTTCATAGTTAAAATACTGTCCGATTTCGTAGTAAGTTAGTTACTTTTTGTTCGATAACTCATTTCAATTTCTCATTCGTAGTTTTAGATGGCTGGCACCAGTCTAATTGGCCTTTTTGTCGCATTCTGCTGCGAACCCAAGAACCAAATACCAAGAAATTTAATGCCAGCTCTCTTCGGTACAATCGCAACAACAATTTCAATTTGTTGTGGCTTGAATATGGGTTCTCCGGTCAATCCAGCTAGCGACTTTGGGGCACGGATTTTTGCCTCTTTAATTGGTTATGGCACTCAGCTTTTTACGTCAGTGCTTTAATTTTCCATCAATCTTATTTATTTGAGCAATCTTATTTGCTCTTTCAAAATTTCCTGAAATTTATCTAAATTTTCATTCTTTCAGATTCCATAACTACTTTTTTCTCGTTCCACTAGTGGCGCCAATTGTGGGTGCTATAATTGGCGTATATTTATATCAATTCTTCATCGGTTTTCATATTCCGAAACCGGCAGCAACAGCGGTAAATGTCAACAAAGATAAATGTGAAATGGATCAAGAAAACGGATTAAGGCAAGTGAAGGAATGCTCTCAGTTATGAAATCGCTGTTATAGTTATTATAATTTTAGATTTCTACGATTTTTCAAATTTCGAAAATGTCAAAAATTATCCTTTCATATTTAGCAGTTTTAGCGATTCTCGAAAAGTCTAATCAGAAAAACTATTATCAACTCTATAAACTATTATTAGGCTATGATAACCTATTGGTGCTAATATAATCTTAAATGTATGTACGAAGTACAAATGTTTGTTGTTCGATCAGTATTGCATAATCAATTGATAAAGTGAACTGAAATAAAATTTGAGTAATTTTGTGCTATTTTAATCACTAAATTGCATAATGTTTAAATTTATTGAAAAACATAAATGATAATTGGATGCTTTGTTGAAATTTCTAATTATCTATCAAAGGTTCACGTCTCTTTAATTTATTTTATAAATTTAAATATCTTTGGCGATAAAATATATATTTTGATACATTTTTATGCAATTTAAATGTGCAATGGAAAATGCAACAAATTTCACTCGGAAATTAAGAACCTTTAACCTTTTTTGGGACATCAAATAGGGTGTGACAATTTGACGACTAATGATGTAAAGTAAGGAAAGTAAACCAATGAAGAATGTATAAATTATGAGGAAGAAAGTTATCACGAAAGTGAATTATACAAAAAAAAAAAATTGTAACTTTTACTTTCTGCATATAAACCCATTTACTTAAGTATATCCTAAATTGTAAAAATGTAAAAATTTTGAAGAGTTTAAGCTTGTATAAACGAATTTTAGATTAAATGTAAAGTACTTTCGATGGAAGAAAAAAAAAATTTGATGTATATAAATGAAAATTATAAGTGGAAGAGTTAAGTGCAATTCTTGGCTTTTTTTTTTGCTGATTTTTTTATCAATAAAACATTATGGGCATCCTGAAATGCCAAATATCTGATGTATTTTGAAGTTTTAAATAAATGTAGATATTAAGAAAGAGTGAATTTGTGAAAAATGGAAAAACAATGTTTTTTTTTTTTTTTTTCTAAGAATTATTAATTTTCGGAAAGTTTCGAGATAAATTTTCAGGAAACACGCAATTATCTAAAAGAAAATGATTAAAAGTGCTTTTTTTTTTCATCAAAACTATTATAATTTAACGCTGTTTTCTGCGTTCAGTGGAAGAAGCCTTTGTTAAATTTGTTCGTCATTTCAAAGCATCCCGGTGAAATCGAATAAAATGCTTTCAGAAGCTGAAAAGTAAATTGAAATATACTTACTAGAAGATTTTGCATGTTAAACAAGTTTAAATTTTAATTTTAATAGCTTAAATTTGCTTAATGTGCATCAAAAATTATCGAATTGTGTTTTTCATATTTGTAAAATTTATTCTGAAAATGAAAAAAAAAAAAGCAGTATTATTTCTGGAGCGAATTTAATAGTTGTTGTTACTTCCATTTCATTATAATAAATTGAAAATTTTAGATTATTAGAAAAATCAATACTATCGATACCATCCAGCAAATGCCTTATGACTTTAGAGGCAAAGTTAAACCGAGATCGAATTACCTTTCGAAAGGATTCTGCAATGTCCACTCTTTCCCGAGTTTCTCATTTTTCTTCAAACCTTTCTGGTAAGCAATAATTTTTTGTTTTATTTGACTTAAAACAAATATAGTCATAACAAATAGGGTAAATGAAATTGAACTAGATAAAGACACAATCATAAAAATTTCAAAAATTTATTGAAGAATTTAGTAACAATGCAAAATTGTATGTTAACTTAAAATTTATGCTAGTATGATTAGCAAAATGTGCGGTAGATATTTTATAAGTTTGATTGAGTTTTGCTATTTCATAAAATTTTTTGACTGTTTTGTTTTGACTTGTAAAGAAATATCATTTTATCAAATAAGTCTAAAAATCTAATCTAAAAATAAAATATAATGCTAATACTACTGAATCGTATCCATAGACAATTACTGAAGTTTTTTTTTTTTTTTTTTTCTTATTTCATTAAAAGAAAAAACTTTTTTAGTGTCTTCTCAACGGAGTTATCGTAAAATAGAAGCAATGATGAATCAGCATTATGAAATAATTCTTAAACCACTTTTTGTATATATGCGTATCCTCGGATTAACTTCCTACACGGAAAATCCTGCATGGCGATATCCACTTATGATTTATAATATTATGATTATGATAATCATGGTAATTCTTACTATTATAACATACATTATTACGATTAGCTTAAGAATTTAATTATTTTAATGGCTGCAATTAATTGAAAGCATGAATTTCTGTATTATTATACACATTTCAACCATATTTGTTATTTAAATGCATTAAATTTCTCATAGAATGGTTATTCGGCTTTTATTATAACAGAAATAGAATTTACTGGATTTAATGTTAACATTGCATTTGCTATTGTTCATGCATGTTACCTTGCAAGGTATGTTTGATGAATATTTGTTTCCTTAGTACATAATGTGGACAACATTGATGACATTTGACCTTAAAGTATTGTAATGTTATTTTATAGCCATCAAATCAGTCGGCAATGTAATCATTTATCACTCATTCAATTAAGAAATGATATATCAAGCAAATATTTTACATGAATTTATTCTTTTTTCATTTTCTCCATTGTCCAAAAGATTATATTCAGTGGTGGGATTTGCTCGTTATTTCTCTTCTGGATGCGAAAAAGTTTCAATCGATTGATTAAAATTGTTGTACAACAGGTAGCTATACATGATCCAAATTTCAAACATGCCTTACGACTTCATCGGATGTGTAAAATAATGGTTGGTCTAACTATTTTCTGGGCTATGATAGCTGTTATTACTACAGCTGGTAAGAACTTCTTCATTTTCATATTCAAAAGTTTATAGAAAAATTAACCATACGATTTGTCAGAACTTTTTCTTTTTCTATGACTAATAAAATGCAATTATAGCGATTCATAAAAAAACAATTAAAAGTGAAAATAGTGATCTTTGGAATGTTATATTAATGATTATTCACCATTACGTTGCATTTTTGACGCAATCGGCGTTAATGAGTTGGTCTGTATTTTTCGCCTTTCCGTGTTATATTCTTGCAGTTTGCTTTGATGCATTTATTGATGACATGCATCACGATGGTATAGTTATAGATCATAAGTAAGTAAATCTTATCAGTTATTTCACTTTTTCTTTTTATCATATATTTTATGCATAGTTTCTTTAAATTTCAACTTGTTTAATTTTAATATTTGATCATCGACAAACAATGCTTAATTTGAATTTCTAACTTGTATGAAATGCTAAAATGTGACAATAAACCTTTAAATTAGTTAAAATATAATCCAACTAATTTAGTATCACCGACTAATTGTTGCTAAAATTACTTGTGTTAATTTTAGTTGGACAAGTAGCCAAGCAGTTAACCATGTATTGAAATATAAACATCGTTATCGAGTAAGGTGTTTACAAATATTTTTTTTCTTTAATTTTTTTAAACTAAAAATATTTTATCAATGAATAGGACATCAGAAAAAGAACAAAATACAAAAAAAAAAGCAATGAATGGTTGGTTGATAATGTTAAACATTACCAACTAATTATTAAAGTTAATGAGCTAATTTGAACAATAAAGGTTAACGTTGCATATTTTAACTGTGACTTTGATTATCTAATTAATATTAAATATTCTAAACTGTCAAAGTGTGACATTGTCGCAATAAATAAAATAATGCTTATCATTAGGAAAGAAAAGCGCAAAATGTAGATAAAGTTCTCATTTTGTTCTTTATTGTACGAGAAAGATGTACACAATAAAAATATGCGTAGCTTTCATTAAGTGATGTAAAGCAATTTCAGATAATGAGAGAAAGATACTATAGAAATATATAAGAACAAAATTTGAGTAAAATATTCAATGACTATTGAATATTGATAATCAATACTGGTTATTGGTTGATTTTTTCAACTTTCTCAATATTTTATGAAGTGTACCAAACATTTCAAACAATAACAAAACTTGCCTACGGTATAACGAAACTTGTCTACGGTACAAAAAAACTCGCTTACGGTATAATAAAACTTGTCTACGGTATAACAAAACTTGCTTACGGATAACGAAACTTGTCTACGGTATAACAGAACATATATGATTCAATTATTTTAGGGTCTAAAAAAAACTGCTGATATAATTGAGGAGCAATTCAAATATGCAATAGCATATGTCGATGCATTATGCTTTACCGAACTATGCTTCATACTGTATACTTATTTGGAAGATAGAAGTGAAAGTAAAACATGGATTGATACGATATTATGTATACTGTATGCTATTAGTTCATTATTTCATATGACTTTTTTCACTGCACCTGCTTATCGACTTTATGAAAGAGTAATAGTTTAAATATATGTACAGTAGAGTAAATGGCTTGATAACCATCATGCTACCGTATTCAATAGCATAAAAAATTTTCTTTTGAAATTAATTTAATTTTAAAGTATAAAAATTTTTGAAATAGACTTCTTCTGCCTTACATTTGAAAAATGTATTAGCTTTTCTTTTTAATTTTTGTTTCGATTAAAACTTAATATTAGAGTTTAATTTCTGTAGTACTGTAACGGACACAATATTTAAAATACTGTAATTCGTGTTCTTTCCATATCATCATCATCATGCATGTTTAGAATCAAGCAACCATAGCTATTGCTACTACAATGTTTCAAAATCAATTAAATCAAAGACGTGATCAATTTCTTGACGTAATTATCTTTTATTATTGTTCACTCGAACTTTTAAATTCAATTATAGCTTGCTTTATTTTTATTTAAATCTGGTAGTATAAAAATAGAGAATTTATTTTTATGAAAATTTTCTAAAGTTTTTCATGGCTCTTTTCATCAAAAATTTTCAATTCACAATTTCGACTGTAAAATATATTAAAGTATTCAATCCTGACTTTAAGTACTGAAGATAATTTTAAAAAATCACAGCGTTTTCCAGTGTTTGCTTTTATTGTTTGTACATAAATTGCAAGTGGCTGAAATAAGTTTTACGGCTGGTGGATTTTTCGTCGTTACACGACAATTGTTTCTGACGGTATTGTTTAATTGAGATTTTTAAACATATTAGTCATTTAATATTAAGCCATCTAAATAACGTAACCAAGAAATAGATTAAGTACCAAAAGTACTACTAGTAATCCACTTTCAAATAATTTATACCCTAACCACATCCTTGATGTGTTTACATACCAAAAATCCCAAAAAGCATCATATTTAAGCTTCCTGATTCTCAGCTATTTAAATTAGCTTATCAATCTATTATTCCTCTTTTTTAATAAGCTCCTTCATTTTCACTTAAACTTTCAACATTAATTCAAATTTCATTTTCATTTTTCTCTAATTTTGTTTTTAAACAAAGTTCACTTTTAGCTTGTCTCATTGGTACTCACATATGTTGCCATTATGCTTCAATTTGGACATATACCTAACAGCTGTTCAATTCAGAGTACTTCAAAAATGAATATTTCAAGTTTGTGAAGTGATAATTACTGTCATTTGCATAAACAATAAGTATTACTTTTGAATTATTTAATCTTTCATTTAATGTCAAATGTTACAAATGAAAATGTGATGAAATTTCAAAATTACAAAAATGTATGAACGATATTTGCTTTAGTTGTCACATGTAAATAAAACAGAAAGCATAACAATACGATTAGGAGCAAATAAATCCTTGAAATTAAAACAAACAACATTAATCTCCTAAAAAATTGTCTTTGAATCTGAAAGTTTTTAAAAAAGGATTTTATAAATTAGAAGAAAAGAATTTTGTGAAAGAATTATATCATAAACCATCTTATAATATCAAGGATTTGATATTTAGCTAATTTGAAATGGCAATTTTTGTTACGTAAACAATTATATAATTTAATTTTAAAAAAATTTTTATTTCTTGACTGATAGATTCGTTCACCCTTTTTTTTCTCTCAAAAAATCAGAAAGAAACAATTATCTATGCTTTGATATGTTTTTTAAATCGTACCTTCGTTTTTGTAATTTACTGAAATAACTACAATTCACTAAAGTACTTCAGAAAATCGCATATCTTTTTTTGGGAGGGAAGAAAAGAGGGATGGAGAGAGAATATTGAGAAATTGATAATAAAATTTTGATAAATGATAAAGTTTTCATTTTCAATCATCTTTCCAAAGGTTCCAATTTGGCGAAGGTATCCTATCGCATGGTATTAAGTCGAGTGCTTCGCTTCGATTAAATGCTTCTAACGGTATTTGTCGGATATTTTCACCCGAATCACAGATTATTCTTGCTAGACTGAGTTTTTTGATCTCCTCAATTTGAAATTTCGTCAAAATTTCCGAGTTTTCATAATAAAATCTATAAAAAAAGATATAAATTATTTAACAGTGAATTAATTATTAAGGAACTAAGTGAAATAATCAAAATTAGGTGTTGTATGAGAGTTATTTTAACAAATTAAACGTTAATAAACTTGCTGAAATTTTTGAAACAATGAAATTTGAAAATTCACTCTTCTACCTGTCACCGTTTCGTAATCTCCTGAATTGTTCAGAAATGATACAGGCTAAAGTAGGTCCAATAAAAGCACCTTCTAGTGGGTCTTCCAATAAACCGCCAACATATAGATCAATATTTTCTGCAAATAAAAATTTTTGAATGAGAAATTTTTTAAAATAAAGTTTAAAATATTCTTTCTTAATTTTCAGTGTTTTGCTTAATTTTTTTTTTTTTTTTTTTTAACCTTACTAACAATTGAATGTTGCAAGTAAGACATTCTACATTTTTTGATCTTAATATGAAATACGAAGTTAGGTTTGGGAAAGGATAAAGATTATTTCTAAAGACACATTTGAGGTTGAAATTTTACCCAAGAAATTTACATATTTGTAGAAAACAATAGAAATTATATCAACAGTCTCTTACTTTAAGACTTTTAAGCTTTTATGAGTACTTAAGTAACACTTACCTACATGTCCATATAAAATTTTTAAGTTTGAACGCAAAATTGGATCTTTAATTGTGGTGTTGAGATCATCGAACGTTCGTACTTTCGACATTTTACAAAATTTCCGCCAAACAACATATCCAGGTATTCCATGATCACGTCCACGCTGAATATTGATGGAACCAAGATCAGAATTGCCAAATATCCGTTCAGTTATTGCTGGAGTAAGTCTGTAGAATTCGATCAGCTTAATTAATTAATTAATCAAGCCGTAATTTAGAGGAAAAGGAACCTAGAAAAATAATTACCATTAAAACTAATTTAAACATATTTACTTTCTCACCGAGAATACCTTCAGTTATCAGTTGAAAGCAAATTCAATTTTCCAGTAGTACTCTTTTTGCAATTATTGAAATTTGCATAATTCTTCTATAACTTACCTTTGTGGCATCTTTGCTGGTAAACTTATCAAACCACGAATAATTGGATCAATTCCATGCGCAAAGACATGGATACTTTTGAACATGCCGTCATTAAACGATATGCCACCAATGCGACGAAAATTCTCATCAAGAAATGGATAAAATTCCTAAAAATTAGATCTTTGCAACCCCCAAAAAAAAAAAGCATTGATGACCTTTTATTTAAAAATTTCTCTCTAAAAAAAATTTCCATTCTTTCCGGATGACCGCTAATTATTCTTCAAATTAATCTATTCATAACATTGATATCATTTCCAAAATATTGTATTACAATCATTTCATTCTCTACTTTCTTTTTCAACATTTTAAAAAAATTTAAATAAATTCGTATAAAAATTTTTTTACTTGTTATTATTATATCTAATGAACAGAAGGAATACGTCAAACCTGTATCATTCCGTGTCCAAATCGGAAAGCACATCCAGTAAATTCGTTACTGATAGTTGCATCAACATTTTCATCATAACCTTCGTAATCACCAATTAATTCATTAAATTTACTGCCTAATATACGAGGTAAATACTCCTATAAATTATGCAATGTGCAATAATTTACTCAATTTTATGTCTTAACTTTATGTCACATCAAGATTTTAATTCATTCCCAATTATTTTATCACTCACTTATCATTGTTACTCTTAAAAATAATATCTCACTGTGGTGATGATTATGATAGAATTAATGATAATAATGATGATAATGCTAATGATAATGATAAAATGTAGATAAACCTTATATGTAATGTGTTGTATAGCAGCTCCAATAATCCGTCGTGTTTCTTGAAAAATTCGATCCTGATCCCAATTTTTATTTAAGCTTTGTAATTCTGATGCTATCCTTAAATATTCCACAAAATTAGCATTATTCTCAATCAGATTTGAGAAATGATCAGTTAATTAATTATGATTACCTTCCAAATTTAGAACCTTGTTAAGGTCATCGTTCCCATCCTACATATGTAGGATCGAACTTAAGCTTAGAATTGAAATTTTTGAAAAATGTTAATGAATTTATAGTACCAAAACTGAGCGTCTTTTTATATTTTATAAAATGTAATGTTTCTTTGCTTATTACTAAGGTCAAAATTGATGGAAAAGTTTTAGTAGGACACCTGTTATGTTCTCGAACAAAAAGTACATGGAATGCAGCTAAACCGACAAATATATTGGCTCGATCATCACCGGCGATAATATTTTGATTGCTATCGATAGGAGGGAATACGCGATCTCGAATAATCTTTGTCTTCATGAAAGCTCCTTGCCGGAACATAAATTGATCCAAATCGGAAGAACCGTAAATCTAATAGAAATATTAATACGGAATTGTTTAACAAATTTCATTCGTTATCACAAAAAGTGATAGAGAATTCTACCATTGAACCATCGAGATATGCTGAATTTTCATTGTATTGTTCTCGAGGAGACGATTGTCCGGTACCGCACAGAGGAGTAGATCGAGCTACCGGTAAACATTGGAAACGACCAAATCTAAATTTACTATCAGTGATATAATCACATTAGCATTAGCAAAGAAATCTTAACTTTCATCACTTTCATTTGCTATTTTCCATTTGATAATGCGTAAATAATTTAAAAGTTCATAATCTATTTAAACTTTTCAAATAATCTAAGATATTTTCATTCAATAATATTGGAATATTATAAATTATTAGAAGTTTAAATTATGAAATAATCTAAAATCAATCTTTGAAAATATTAGCAATTTAAAGAAATTCCATTTCTTGTTCGGATTAATCTATGAAATAAATAAAATGCAAAAATGTCAAAAGCGCAATCATTTCTAATTTTCGCAATATTTATATAATAGAAATAAAGGAAATTTACGTTGGATCACGTCTTGATAGGAAAACATTGGTGCATTTAGAATTAGGTTCACAAGATGCGCATTCCTGGTTGTTTAGAGTTGTTGTCTTGG